GTTATTGATAAAAACAGCTGAGTGTGATGATGAAGACTCAAACTTCTCATTAGTTATCATGGCATCTATAGACAATTCATCAGCAAATTTGATAAGCTCTGGTGAGGTATGGCTGCTAGACTCTGCATGCAGTCATCATATGAGTCCCCATCGGGATTGGTTTTTTGACTTTAAAGAACTTGAAAATGAAGTTGTCTATACTGCAAATAATGTTCCTTCCTTCACAGAAGGGATTGGTTCAATCCGTTTGAAGAACCATGATGGGTCAATCAGAATCCTGATTGATGTTCGATATGTACCGAGTTTGATAAAGAATCTCACTTCAGTGGGAGTCCTAGAATCAAAAGGACTCACTATAATTGCGAAAGATGGAATCAAAAGGACTCACTATAATTGCGAAAGATGGAATGATGAAAGTCATCTTGGGTGCACTTGTGGTGATGAAAGGAGTTTGGAGAAGGAATAATTTGTATTACTATCAGGGTAATACAATTATTGGATCGATAGCAGCAGTTGTTTCTAGTGACGACAAAGAGTTGGAAACAACCAGATTGTGGCATAAGTGCTTGGGACATGTAGGTGAAAAATCCTTCAAAAGTTTGGCAGATCAAGGATTATTGAAGGATGTCAAAACCTGAAAGTTGGACTTTTGTGAGCATTGCACCAAAGGAAAGCACTCAAAAGTGAAATTTGGCATCAGAATCCATAATACCAAGGGTATTTTGGACTATGTTCACTCTGATGTATGGGGACCCTCTACAACGGCTTCTTTGGGTAGCAAACATTATTATGTGATCTTTGTTGATGATTTCTCTCGAAGGGTTTGGGTGTATACTTTGAAGTCAAAAGATGAAGTGCTAGGAGTTTTCCTCAAATGGAAAAAATTGGTGGAAACTCAGACTGGCAGACGCATCAAATGTCTCCAAACAGATAATGGAGGAGAATACAAAAATTATGCTTTTGATAAAATCTGCGCAGATGAAGGCATTGTTCGACACTTCACAGTTAGAAATACACCGCAGTATAATGGGGTGGCAAAACGCATGAACCGAATGTTGCTGGAGAAAGTTCGGTGTATGTTGTCTAATGCTGGGTTAGACAAGAAATTTTGGGCTGAGGCTTTGTCATATGCATGCCATCTCATTAATCGATAATGGATTACCATCAACTGCTATTGTGGCAAAACACTATAGAGTTATGGTGTGAGAAAACCTGCCTAATGATTATGATTCTTACGTTGTATTAGTTACAACTGCAATATTATGACAGTTAAGAAAATCGAAGCTGGATCCAAGAGCTAAGAAAGCCCATTTATGGGATAAGCATAGGTGTAAAGGCTATCGGCTATGGTGTACAGAATCAAAGAAAATAATCTTTAGCAGAGATGTCACTTTTGATGAATCTACCATGTTAAAAAAAGGTGACAGTAGAGTAATCAGATGGCACTCCACAACAGGCGGAGTTTGATAGAAAAATCCCAGTGGCAGGTACTGAACATGTAGAAACTCCTGAGGTAGAAGGAGGCTCAGATGAAGAGGAGGTTCAACTCCAAGAACCTCCACAGAAACTTGAGTAAATTGCACTTGATAGGCCAAGAAGATCTATAAGAAAGCTTGCTCGTTTTGATGATATGGTGGCCTATTCATCTTCAATTGCAGATGATAGCATTCCATCCAAAATGATAACATTCCATCCACTTTTAATTAAGCTGTCAAAAGTTCAGATGAAGTAAAGTGGAGATAAGCTATGGAAGATGAAATGAAGTCCCATTATAAGAATCAGACATGGAATTTAGTATAAGAATCAGACGTGGAACTTAGTTGATCCACCAAAGGGAAAGAAGGCGATCGGATGCAAATGGGTATATGCAAAGAAAGAAGGATTTCCTGACAGGGACAGTGTTCACTATAAGGCAAGATTGGTAGCTAAAGGCTACGCTCAGACGAAGGGAATTAATTATAATGAAGTGTTTTCTCCAGTTGTAAACCTCCATTCGGATTTTGTTAGCCTCGGTAGCACAGTTTGATTTGGAACTAGTTCAATTGGATGAAAAAATTGCATTTTTACATGGAAATCTGGAAAAGGAAATCTACATGACTCAGCCATGAGGATTCAAAGTTGCTGGAAAGGAAAATATGGTATGCAAACTTGAAAAATCGCTTTACGGATTGAAGCAATCTCTGGGCAGTGGTGCAAGCGATTTGATAAGTTTATGCAAGGGCAGAAGTACACAATAAGCAAATATGATCATTGTGTGTATTTGCGCAAGCTACAAGATGGCTCTTTCATTTATCTTCTTTTGTATGTTGATGATATGTTGATAGCTTCAAAGAATAAACAAGAAATTAAGAATTTGAAGAATCAGTTAAATCAAGAATTTGAAATGAAAGATCTAGGCGAAGCAAAAAGGATTCTTGGTATAGAAATTACTAGAGATAGGAAATTGGGGAGACTTTATCTGAATCAGAAGCAATATCTGAAAAAGATACTAAAGTGTTTTGGTATGGATGATAAAACCAAACCTGTTAGTACACCTCTTGCTCCTCATTTCAAACTTAGTGCTACTCAGTCACCAAAAAATGATGCAGAAAGGGAATACATGTCAAGAGTTCCCTATGCAAATGTTGTGGGTAGTTTGATGTATGTTATGGTCTGTACGAGGCTTGACATTTCACATGCAGTTGGAATTGTGAGCAGATACATGCATGATCCTGGCAAAGATCATTGGCAAGCTGTGAAATGGATTCTGCGGTATCTTTTGAACACCGTGGATGTTGGATTGATTTTTGAGCAGGATAAGTATAGTGGTCAACGCATAGTCAGATATTGTGGTGGTCAACGCATAGTCAGATATTGTGGATTCCTGATTATGCCCGGTGATTTGGATAAATGTCAATCAAACTACTAGTTATGGTGTTTACTCTTGCAAAAGCACCATCTTGCAAAAGCACCAGTTAGTTGGAAGTCCACTTTACAGTCAACAGTGGCTTTGTCTACAATAGAGGCAGAGTACATGGCAGTTACAGAGGCTGTTGAGGAGGCAATTTGGCTTCAAGGGTTGTTTGATGAATTGGGAATTAGGCAAATAACCAAATTTATCATGCAAGGACGAAGCATATCGACGTTCGATTTCATTTTGTCAAAGAAATTCTGGAGGAAGGACAAGTTCAACTCTAGAAGATTCAGACTGCTAAGAATCCTGCTGATATGATGACAAAAGTGATGACAACTGTCAAGTTCAAATACTGTTTGGACTTGATTAATATTATTAAAAATTGAAGCTTGGCATAGCCGAGCACATTTGAAGACATTGCAACTTTGTGAGAGAAAGAGAAGAAGCTTGCATTGGTGGGATTTTCGCCAAGGTAGAGATTGTTGGTTTAGGTGGCTTAGAATCCCACATCGGAAAAATGGGAAGGGAGTGGGAAGCCCTTTGCCTATAAAAGGAGCCTACCTCCTTAAGTTTTAATCGTGCCAACTTGTCTTCCAATACCTAGTGGGTTAGACAAGTTTCTCTCCTCTCTTCTCTCCTCTCTTCTCTCAAATTGTTCATATTTTCTTCTTCAGTGAAATATAATTTGGGTAAGTGTCCCGAAGGACGTAGGCAAATTGGCCGAACCTCGTTAAAATTCTGGTGTTTCTCTTATTTATTGCTTTGTCTTTATTTATTTAATAGGCTATTGTTGGGCAAAAATATTTTGGTGGTTAATTGTCTGATTAATTGCATGTCTAGGTAAATGCATGTCTAGGTAAATTCTGTCAAACGACATGAATTTAGTCCAAAGCAAGTGGATTTTAAGTGAGACCATTTGTGACTCCTCCACTTATCTAGAAATTTATGTAAGAAATTTATGTAGTTACTCAGTACAGTACACCTTCAACTTCTTGTTGTGTGATTGTTATTTTTTCATCAGTTTCAATTTTGGTAAGACTTCATCGCATCAATTGTCTTCACTCTTTTCCTTTTTTCTAGAAACTTCTCCCTTCGCTAATCAATTTCACAGTGTTAGTTCAGGGAAGGAGAAAGGGAAAATTTTTTATTCTGAATTTCAGTCTTGGCTTGAGCTTATACCTAAATAACTAATCAGGTAATTTTTACATTGTCTATGAAAATTTGGTTATATCTAGAGTTTTAACTCTCAAACTTATTTGTTATGAGTTTAAATTATGAGTACCTGTTTTGTCTTTATATTAGATGATTTGACATTTATACTGGAATTTTTTTTTTTTTTTTTTTTTTTTTTTTTTTTTTTTTTTTTTTTTTTTTTTTTTTTTTTTTTTTGATTGGCTGTTGAGGAATTTTCTTTGGGCTTTTTGAGATGCGAGTTATTTAGATCCTTTGTTGTTTGTCCTTGAGATAATTCATATTAATTGAAAATTAGTCATCCTATTGCCACTACCAAACTACTGATGTGTTTGGTATATATTGGCAGTGTATCAAATTCTAGGGCATGAAAAAGTCGAGCCAAGTCAAACAAGAAAAGCATACCATCTATAGAATTGAGAATGTGAGACTTAATTGGAGCTGTATTGTTAAGTTGAGAATTTCAATCAAAATTTGTTCAGTACCACCGACTCTTCATGAAAATTTTAAAATTGTGAAGCTGTGTTTGAATCGCTACAATTTATGGTTACAAGTGAAAACTGAAATGATTAAGTACCAGCATTACTTTCCTTTTCCTTTTATAGTTTGTTTTTTGTCTACTTTTGAATTTAGTTTGGCATTTTTATTTTTTATTTTTTTCAAAACAAAACCCACCAAACCTTATCTGAGACTTTCTGGCCATAAAATGAATTTACTCCTATCCAACAACTTTGCTTGCCATATTCTTTCCAATTTCCTGGTTGATATTTTTTTTTAAAAAAAGAATATATATATATATTTTCATGATTATATTTGAAAACACATAAAAAGCATGAATGATAGTTCAACAAAATTTTTTAAAAAAAAAAAAAAAAAAAAAAAAAAAAAAAAAAAAAAAAAAAAAAAAAATCCCACCTGTATAGAAAGGTCTGATTATGGAGTCCAACTGTGAGAGGAAAAGCACCAATCTCTCACCGTGGCTGCAATTCTTTTGCCTTCTTTAGCCCCTCCTCTTACAATAATTTCAATATTTGTCTGTGAAATAAACAATTATTTAATCTATAATTCTTTCTAATTAATTGCTATAATGAATCAAATAAGCAGAATATAGAATTAATAGCTGTAATGATTATGTAATAATTAATACTCCATCTGTCTCAAAATATAAAGTCGTTTTTGGATGATTATTTTGTTCTAAAATATAACTCATTTTGATTATTTTAATGAATAATAAATGATATTTTTTTAACATTACCTTTATTTACATAAATTCAATAAATACTTTCATAAGTAACTATTTATTTTGAGATAAAAGATAATTTGGTCAAATTATCGTTGGTTTCGTTATAATTTTAAAAAATTAATTGTTTTCTTAATCCTTGTATTAAGGTTACATTAAAGAAGTTGTTACAAATTTTTTTTTTGAAAGAAAGAGCTAGTTGCTAGCCTTCAAGGCTAAGCAGTCTGATCTTTTTAAATTATTTTGTAACTTAAAGTCTTACCTTAAAATAATTCTATACATTGGCAATTTATTTTATGTCAGTATACCTGTCACAATTAGATCTATTTTAAATATTTTTATAATTATTTTTACTCAAAATGTAATTATGGACATGCTATTTCAAAATTCTATATCATTATCAATTAAAAAAATAGTTTTTCTCTAACAATATAATTATACGTGAAATACAATTTCTGTTAGTAAAAATACACGTATTATATGAATTTTTATTATTTTTATCGATTTTTGAATTTCATAAGTCTTCCTATAGTATATACTGTTGTTTGTATTATTTTTTTAACATATAATGCTTCTGTTGTTAAAGAAAAGTTATTGAACCATTTCTTTTATACTGAGAAAAAATAAATAAATCTTGCTATTTAAAAACAATGGTTTATTCAGAAAAGTTTGAAAAAAAAAAATACTTAAAAAGAAAAGAGAGTTAATATTTTACGTTTATTTTCTATGCTTTTTGACCCCCTATATCTGTGTATGCTCATAAACAAATTTAAAACTAGTCTTATAGTAATTATTCCAAATCAGTTTTTGGATTGAAGTATTGCAAAAAAAAAAAAAAAAAAAAAAAAAAAAAAAAAAAAAAAAAAAAAAAATAAAGTATTGCAAAAAAAAAAAAAAAAAAAAAAAAAAAAAATAAAAAAAAAAAAAAAAAAAAAAAAAAAAAAAAAAAAAAAAAAAAAAAAAAAAAAAAACCAACTAAATTTGTTATAATAATTTATAATCATAATTCACTTGGCTAAAATCATATCATAACATGTAGAACAAAATTTGAATATTTAGACTCTGTTTGTTTCCGTAAAATAACTTGCAGAAAAATATTTTTCACAATTTTCCGTTGTTTAGAGCGTTCAGAAAAATAAGTCAACAGAAAATATTTTCCTATTCAAAAGAAAATTAAGTCATTTTTTAAGAAAAATAACTTCTCATGTTTGAGAGAGTAAATCATTTTCTGAACATTGACAAATTTTACAAATCCATATTTTTTTTAGTTTATTAATCATTGTAGTTACTATCATCAGTCAACATTTACCACCGGCCACCACCATGGCCACCGGCGGTTTTCCTAATTTACATTTTTTTTTTGCATTTTTCTTATATTTAACAATAAAATTTTTAAGTTATAAAACTTCTATTATTATTAATATTTTTTATGATCTTACGAGATAAAGACTTTAATATTTTTATAACTAATTTTCAATATTACAACTAAACAATGGAAAATAAGCCATTTGGAAAAATATTTTTCACGAAAAATATCGTTCGGCAAGTTATTTTACAGAAACAAACGGAGCATTAACCAATAAAAAAAATAAATAAATAAATAAAACACTGACTGAAGTAACTAAGAACTAGAATTTTACACATACCACAGATATCAAACATGCCTTCATTGCTGGACATAGCATCTATAGACCATTCTTCTGACAGAAGTTTTGACACCAATTTGACCGGAGGAAAGTTGGAGAATCCTTGGCCTCGAGGCATGATACATCAATTTGCTTCTCCTAAGAATATTACATATTCAGCAGCATTTTCTACACATAGTTTGATGGCATCAAAACAACATGACTTGTAAGCTTTCTCTATATATCATGTAAAAAAAATATCCAACCCAGATCAATGATAGAAACCCAAAGAATTACTCATGGAATCTCTGATCATTATGAGCCCAGAATCCAGAATCCAAGGTAATACTAATAATGATATCTGCAGGAACACTTCAAAATCACAAAAAAAATTGATGGCTCATCTTCTTTCTTGTCCTCTCTCTGAAAGGGAAACAAAAAACAAAAACAAAATGTATCCTCGTGTCAACGATAATAAGGTTATCTGACGCTGATAGGATCCTACAGGTTTCAAATGGGTTGATTTTCCCTAACCATCTTTATGATATTGAAGGAACCATGCATCCTAACCAAACTAGTTTAAGCTCAGTTGAGTTGTGTGTCAATAGAGATATTAAAAGCACATTCTAGATTACAATCATTAAAAGTATTCTCACCAGGCCAAAAAGTAGGAAATTTGGGTTTGAAGCTACCAAAGCATAATAAATGTCGACGAGAATGCCAGGTTTTATCCCCAAGAATAATGCATCATTCTGACAGAAGCATACAGTTCCAAGCAGATGCTGTAACTTGCATAGCTGGATTTTCATCTTTGGAAAAATCATTGTAAGCTGAAAATAAGAAAAATAATTAGAATATAAACACACTGAGATATATGGACAAGATTTCGAAAACAAAAGCAGCAAGCATATAGAAAAGGTTGAGTTAATGACCTCTTCGATGAACAATACATGAGATATTGAACAGGATTGAGCAAGCTTGAGAGAACAATGAACAAATCAATGAATAATAGAAAGAATGAATAGAAGTCGCAGAGAGATCAATCATTCTCTGCTGCATCTCAAAATCGTAATACTCTGTTATGTCTTATGTCTGCTGTACAAGAGAATATTTAAGATCTATTGGACAAATAACTAATCTGCTGTACAAGAGAATATTTAAGATTCTATTTGGACAAATAACTAACTATGGGTTTAAGCTAAGAATACTGGGCCCTGTGATGAATATTGGGCAATGGTGCTGTGATATTTAATATGGACAGACTGTAATGAAATATCTCCTATAGATATGCCTTCCATTCGTCCTCAAAATAAGCCAAACCAATGTCATGCTCGTAAGAGGCCTGATTAATAAAGTTCTTGCGCACTATGAGAGTTTTAACTTGGCAAGAATGTGTTCGCTTCCAGGTTCCACAGTCCATCCTGGAATGCATGCTCGAATTTTAATTTCTGGTAATAAAAACCAGTTTAGTTTTCATCAACTGGAGTCCAGAAACCTATTTTTGCCTAGTCCAGTGACTTGGTGTGTGAAAGACCGAAAAATTATGAAGCAGCAAGTTTCTGAACCGCTACTGCCTTATAAGTTCAAAATCGTAATACTCTGTTATGTCTTATGTCTGCTGTACAAGAGAATATTTAAGATCTATTGGACAAATAACTAACTATGGGTTTAGCTAAGAATACTGGGCTGTGATGATTATTGGGCAATGGTGCTGTGATATTTAATATGGACAGACTGTAACTGAAATATCTCCTATAGATATGCCTTTCCATTCGATCCTCAAAATAAGCCAAACCAATGTCATGCTCGGTAAGAGGCCCTGATTAATAAAGTCTTGCCACTATAGAGAGTTTTACTGCAAGAATGTGTTCCTTCCCAGGTTCACAGTCCATCCTGGATGCATCTCAGAATTTTATTTCCTGGTAATAAAACCAGTTAAGTTTTCATCACTGGAGTCAGAACCTATTTTTGCCTAGTCCATGACTTGTGTGTGAAAGACGAAAAATTATGAAAGCAGCAAGTTTCTGACCTCTACTGCCTTATAATTTTTAAGTAAAGAGATTATAGTAAGTTGCTCCCATCTTCCACTCCAAATGTAGATACACTTTAGTTTTGTCTACTGCCTCAAACCCAACTCGATCCTGGACTTTTCCTCAGTCCTGTCTTGATTATCTTTGATCTTGTATTTCCTGCATCTTCCCATCTTCCATATTTAGCATAGACATTTGATAAAACCACACGATGAGTTGGATTTTCAGGTTCAAGTTGAACAAGACGATCTGATGCAAATTCTGCTAATTGCACATTCGAATGCATTTTACACGCACCTAGAAAAGCCCCCCATGCTCTGGCATCAGGTTCAAAAGGCATTGCTTTGATTAAATGCAAAATTTCATCAAATAATCCAGCACGACCTAATAGATCCACCATACAAGCGTAGTGTTCTAAACCTGGTTCAAGCTGGTGCTTTTTCTTCATGGAATCAAATAGTTTCCTCCCTTCATCTATTAAACCTGTATGTCTGCAAGCAGATAACACACTGAGTAAAGACAGAGAGTCAATCCTGACATGACTCTTCTGCATAAGTGAGAAAAGTTCAGTAGCACGGTGCCCTTGCCCATGAATTGCATATCCTCCAATCATCACATTCCATGTAACGGTGTTTTTATTCCTCATCTCATGAAATAACTCCTCTGAGATATCAAGCTGTCCACATTTGGCATACATATCGATAAGACAATTCCCAACAAGTATATTGGACTGAAATCCTATCCGGATAATACAGGCATGAAAAGCCATGCCTTCCTTTAAGGCTGACAAATGTCCTACTGCAGGAAGGACACTCACAATTGTGACTGGAGTAGGATGAAAATTCTCTAATTTCATCTGGCAAAATGTAGAAATAGCTTCTTTGGCATGTCCATTGTGCACATATCCTGCAATCAGGACATTCCAGGAAACTTCATCCTTTCTAAAATCAGTTCTCTTGAACAAGAATTCAGCAGCAGAAAGGCTTCCCAATTTGGCATACATGTCAATGAGAGCATTTTTTACATGACAGTGAGATTCAAGACCACACTTTATAATTTGTCCATGCATGCAGGATCCCTGGCCTTGGTCAAATAAAAGGACACAAGCTGAAAGTAAACTCACCATAGTTCCCGAGTCTGGACATATTTCAGATATTTGTGCTTTATGGAACATTTCCATTGCATGATAAGGATCACCAATCTGAATATACCCATTCATCAAAGCATTCCACATAACAATATCTTTACATGGCATTCTATTGAATATAGTCAGTGCTGAAGCAAAGAATCCACATTTAGCATACATGGACACTAAGGCTGTTCCAGTTGAGATATCTGAGTCAATATTCGCTTTAATAGCATAACAGTGTACGCTTTTACCTAATCTCAGGGCTAGTACGTCTGCGCAAGCCGGAAGTACGCTCGTCAGAGTAACATTGTTCACTTTTAAACAATTATTCTGCATATCTCGAAATAGTGACAGAGCATCTTCAGGATACCCTGATTGAACAAGAGCAGCTATAATTGCTGACCAAGCAACCAAATCCCTTCCTTTAAGCCCTTGAAACAATGATTTTGCCTTATCCAAATCTCCAAATTTTGCATACATGGTAATCATAGCAGTAGTAACCGAAACATCCGAGTCAATTCGTTGTTGTCTAGCAAAATCATGAACTTCTCTCCCTTTCACTAAATCTCTCATCTCCGCTGCAGCTGAAAGAGCATTTACAACTGATACTTTATTCAACCTAACATTCTCTCTCCGCATACAATCAAACAACTCCAAAACCTCAAAGAAGCATTCATTATGTGCATACCCTGCCATCATTGTTTGCCATGAAATATCATTCCTGTCTTGCATTTGTTCAAAAATCTGACAAGCCATATCAATGTTCCCACACTTAGAGTACATATCAATCAACCCATTCGAAACAATTGCTACAAAACCCCTCCTCGTAACATAACCATGAAGGGACCTACAAGCATCAATATCGCCCAGTTTCGAAACAGCTGGAACCAAATTCACAATGCTTACTAAATCAGGCTCCAAACCACTCAATTGCATGCTCTTAATAAAACCCAATGCCTTCTTAGGATCCACACTCTGCGACAAACTAAGAATCATTACATTCCACGTTGTAACATCTTTGCTAGGCATTTTATCAAACAATTCTCTTGCCAACTCTAAGTTACCCATTTTACCATACAGGTCAACAAGAGCAGTCCCCAGAAAAACATCACACTCCATCCCTCTAAAGACAATATCACGGTGAATCAACATACCCTCTTTAAACTCCAGCCCACCGATGCAAGCTTTCAAAACAAAAGTGAACGTATATTTGTCTGGCTCTAAGCCATTATTTAACATCAAGTGATACAATTTTATAGCTTCTTGGTAATTTTTCTCACTTGTATAAGCTCTTATGATATTATTGTACAATCTAACACTTGGGTTGGGCATAAAATCAAACAAAAACCGAGCAAAGTCAAATTTTTTAAAAGAAAGGTAAGATTTTATAATATGGATATTAGACAAAGGGTCGTTTTGGAGGCCTGAGACTATCAAACGGGCATGAATTTGAAGGAGAGAGTTGAGATCTTTGCATGAGGATAGTAAGGGAAGGTAATTGCGGTGATTTACAATTGCATGTGAAGGGAAAACTGAAATTTTGTTATTGCTTGCTGTGAGTGCATGGAATAATCTACGCAGTGGGTGTTTACGTTGACCCATTATTGCCTGGAGATGCCTGGAGCGATCGTAACGTTACGAGAGAAGTGAAAATCACTGAGGTTGGACACTACAGATGTCGTTGTACGAGAAATAACGTTTATAAAGCGAAATCAACTGTAAAAGTTATTAAAAGGCTTCTAAAGGATTATACTTAAATTAAAAATTAATTACCAATGATTTAAATTGAAAGCGGTAGGAACCGTTCCTTGCTATTTCCTATCTAAAAAAAATAAAATCTTAATCATCTAGGGAGTCTTAACTATCTAGGTGGAGACATCTTTAGCCATGAATCTCCTCTATCACTCTTCTTTATTTCTTGTGTTCTATTCTCTCTATTCTCTTTATTTAGAAAAAACAGAAAAAAAAAAACTCTTAGATTAAGAAAATTAGTTAATTGTATTTTCTACCTAAAATGTCGTTAATAAAAGTTAATTTTGTCATTAATTATGGGACAACAGTTGACACAAGAGGTGGCCCTAAGAAGTGTATTAATGAACTGTTTGCATGAATTGGGCGTCACTTTTGATAAAATTTCAAACCTTCCATATTTCTATTATGACACTTTATTACATTGGGGGACATTTTATATAATATGTGCTCAAAAATAAAATATTTGAAGCCAAATTTTTTGAGTTTACAATTGGACTCCTCGATTTTTAAATTTTGGCCACATATAAAATGAAACCACAATTAATAATCTGATCTAGAAAAATATATTCACTTCTTCATAACACCTAAATCGACCACATCATATCCAGAAATGACCACTGTTTTGCATCTCCAGACTTGAATCTTATAGGTAATGAAGTAGAAATGACTTCAGATTGCGTCTCAGCAGTATTGTCTTCATGCATTACAGGATCAGACACATCTTTTGAACTTTGGTCACGTTGTTCTTCATATTTGTTTGCTTCTCTATAAGACTTTCGTGTTTGGCCACATTTGCATCTTCTTGGCCACCATTAGCAGAAACAGGTGTTTCAGGAACCTCAAAGTATTGACCAGTTCTTTTGAGAAAGTGTCTCAAATCAGCAACAAAAGACTTATGAGAATAATATACCACTTTCCTCTATTATTGACCTTGAATCTTGAAACAAACACAAATATTTCAAAGATATTCTTATCTTTTTAACTCGGCTTGCATCCCAAAATTACTATTTAGAGTAAAATTTTCTATATAAAAAATACACTCAAAAAAAAATTTCTAAATAAAGAGATTAGAGGAAGTATTATTTTATCTAGTACTAGTACTTTTGCTTTTGGTTTGTCTCTATCTAATATGGAGTTGATTTGTGTCCATCTTATATGGTTGTTAGGTTCCGCTTCTTGCTCTAAAAACGGAGAAAGACTTGTCCAAAGTTAAATTACTTAGTTACTAGTTGGTCCAACCAAGAAAGAAATGCAAAATGAAAAGTTAGAAAGAGCCATGATTTTGAATTAGAAGAGAGATTTCAAGAAATGAAAAATCTATTCACTCTATTAATAATCGAGCCGGATCAGGTATATCATAAGGAATTTACATTTTTTTATTGATTCTTACGGATTGGATCCAAAAAAATTTTTGAATGAGGAGAGTTTAATATCCCTTCTATTTGACTTTAATAGCAACATTTCATCTTTTCACACGAATTACGAAAATGATTGGAACACATCTATTTTCTAAATATACATAGTAGAATGTCTAAATTGCCTTAAAATTAAAAATTCCGTATTTAATTTTACTACAAAATCAATGCTAATTTTATGTCATATTAAAGCACCATCGTTAAAGTAGTACTTCCGTTCATTTTTTTATTGAACACTTAAAGTGGAATAAAATAAAATTTCCTTTGTTGCTATTAAAGTGGAATGTATGGAGTATTATTTTTCGTTAGACATGTATACAATATGTGAATATCTATTCTTTATAGGGATAATTATAATTTAGTGCCTGAAATTTTTATTTTTTTTCTATTTTGGCAACTGGATAGAAAACGCTATCAATTGAGTGCACAAATTTTTTAAAATTTCTATTTCAATTTTTCTGTCTAATTTGGCTACCGGAACTCTGATTGTGTAATGATGAAACCCATTTTTTCACATGTGGTAGTTAATATGGCTTAATTGAGATCCAAATCAGCTTGCCATATAGAGTCTACATGCACATGATATAAAATTCTCTAATTTGCTCTTTAGAACACCTAATTCCCTATTGAATCTCCTCACTTCTCAGCATCTCCATTATGGCTCGAACATTGAATTTCAGTTTTCAAAAAAATAGCTTGTAAAAAAAATATTTTTCACAATTTTTCAGTGTTTGGGCATACAAGAAAATAAGTCAACAAAAATAATTTTCCTAATTAAAGGAAAACTTATTCATTTAAAAGAAAATGACTTCTCACTTCAAGAGAGGGAAACATTTCACAAACATTTACAAACTTATTATAATCTTATAAATGTATTTTTTTTAATTTATTAATCACTCGTAGTCACTACCATTAGTTTTCATTCACCACCAGCCACCACCACCGGTCACGGGCCACCATCGGCCACCACCACCAGCCACTCGCGATTTTCATAATTTTATCATTTTTTTCATTTTTCTCATATTTAACAATAAAATTTTTTAAAATAAAATTCTCATTATTATAAATATTTTATGGTCTTATGAGTTAAAAATTTTAATGTTTTTTAACTAATTTTTATAATACAACCAAACAATAGAAAATAAATCATTTGAAAAATATTTTCAAGGAAAACATTTTTTTTGAAAAATATTTTTCAAAGATAAGTTATTTTTCGGAAACATATGGAGCTCAATGTTCTTCATTTTGCAAGGAAACTTCACAAAAGAAGAAGATGAACTCTCATCACTCTTCACAACTTGTTTGGAAACAAGTATATATATTGAGATTTTAATTCAAACGCACAAAATCTCAATTGAGATATTTATTTCTTAAGAATAAATTATTTATTTATTTCTTTTTGGCAGTTGGTGTCTTATTGCTGCTGGTTTACTTAGAAAAACAGATAATAGATCAAGATAAATTACAATACACACATCAAAAGAATGCTCTACATCGATGGCTAAGATCCTCAAAAGCATTGCCTTCCCAACTCAACCACCAGCACAGCCACGACCACTATAACTTCTACTGCAATTAGCAATGGCAGGAACAACAAAGCCAATAATAATAATAATAATAAAAGATAATAATATGATCAATAATAATAATGTTTCTCAAATAGAAACACATAATTATCATTGACTCCATTTTTGCGAGTACATTTGCAGGGTGGTTATGAACCAGAGAATTCAACATGTTCTTTTTGCATTGGACAAAACCCAAACCAACATAAACTTGGATGACATGGCATTAGGATTTGAGTTTTGGCTTGAATTTAAGATGGGAAATAGCTCGATTGAAGAAGTTGAGAGATATTTGAGGTTGGATTTAGGTTTTATAGAGGATTTGAAGGAAAAGGCTTCATTATAAATTTAGTGCCTAAACTTTCGAAAAATTTTATTTTAGTGTCTTAACGGAAAACGTTTACAATTAAGTGTTTGAATCGATAAATTTCTTTTAATCGGGTATCTCTATCTTATGTGGCTTGCAGGAAACATGAATAGGACTTGTGGGACCCATTTAAAATTCAAAATAACATTGAGTAGGACAACAAATAGCTTGACACATCAGATTTGACATGTCAAACAGTAGAGTGTAAAAAACAATTAACAAAATTGTCATTAGCCCTAAAAACCAAACGCGGCTGACTGTTGCGAAAATAGTTGTTTGCCAAACGCAACTGTTAACTCCTCTGACTCTCTCACGACTATGGAACAATGTCCGGCAATCATCAACACATGTTGCGTCTAGTCCTCTCATGCCGCAAAATCACAACATAGGTAACAACCCCAAACACCTCCACTATCATAGTCATGGCTTCCTCCACCGAACAAGGGTTCCTCGCCGAGTATCGAATTAGACTCAACTGCTTCCCACAAACGAACCTCCATTGGGACTCCAAAATGGCATATCGGTGAGAAGCTAGGGTTTTGTCTCAAAGAGATCGACAATCACCGAACAAAATAAAATCTAGTTTTCAAAAAAAGTAATAACCATATTAGAAAAGCATAATATCCAACTAATTATGAAACTCCTAAAAATATTTAAACCTATTTGTAGACTAGCCTACTTGTCAGGCCTGACTCCAACCAGCAGAGAAATTGTCCACTTTGGATCAAGCCAATTTCATCCCATACTGAATTGGCAAGACCCGCATGGTTATGTCCCGTAAGTGAAATGGGGAACTTCTTAGGAGGTCACCCATCCTAGGATTTCTGTTATGCAAACATGATTAGTTTTACCCTTTTCGATATATGATTCGATTCATTCATATGTCCCACGTTCCTCTACCCATAGCTAGCCTGCCATCCTAGAAGCTAGCCAGGAGCTTTGCTCTACCCGCCCTTTTAGGATCGCTTTGCCGGGTCGTTATGTCCGTAAGGAAATGGGGAACTTCTTAGGAGGTCACCCATCCTAGGAAATTTCTGTTATGCAAACATGATTAGTTTTACCCTTTTCGATATATGAATTCGATTCATTCATAATGTTCCCACGTTCCGTCTACCCATAGCTAGCCTACCCATAGCTAGCCTGCCATCCTAGAAGCTAGCCAGGAGCTTTGCTCTACCCGCCCTTTTAGGATCGCTTTGCCGGGTCGCGATGTCATAGGCCCACCAGCTTTCGCATTGTTCGTCATCGAACCATACATCTATTGGAGAGGGTCCAGCTTTGCTACCAATTGTCACGCCTGACTCCAACCACCAGAGGAATTGTCCGCTTTGGATCCAACTAATTCTATACCATACTGGATTGGCAAGACCCGCACAGTTTTGTTCCATAGGTGAAATGGGGAACTTCCCAGAAGGTAATCCATCCTAAGATTTCCGTTAAGCAAGCATGCTTAATGTTGAAATCTTTGTGATTAAAGTAAATATTGTGTTTACTAGTTTAGGTTTATTCCTAATTAGTGTAAAGATTGTGTTTCCTAGTTTAGGTTTATTCCTATTTAGATTACTTCCTATATTCGAACAATTTT